CCCCCCCCCCCCCCCCCCCCATCTGAAATTTTCTCTGTCTGCAGAAATCATAGAGCACCAAAATTAAGACTCGATCTCATTTTGTCAAGCATGAAAATCATAAAATTTTACTATTTTTTTCTAATAATGGGGTTTAAGGAGACGGGGCACAGATACAGACAGAGTCAGAGAGACTTTATCATCAGCAGAGAGCTTCATGGCCGATGATCACATACAAAGATAATAAAGAGACTTTTTTAGTCCTTGGCTATATCCAGACTATTATAAGTTCCAGATTATAACAGTCTAATAGGCACAGAGCAGCCGTCTCTGACTCTAAAATCATGTCTTAAACGATGATAATTACCGTTTTACGCACCTTTTTCTGGCCAACAACTGAGAAAGACAAATAAGAGAATTTCTCCCAAGGAATCATAAAACCATTTCTTGAGAGTAACTGACGTTTCAAAGAGAAATCCACCGTGTGCTTAGCAACGAACAGATCAAAAAGCCCATCAGATTGTACTGCATAAATCGATGGCTGTTGTACATAGTGATGACTGATGACGCTTTCCATTTCTGGGGAGAGTTGTTGGCTTTCATGTCTTCTGTTGGACATGTTGGACATCGACCCCGTTGGCCTATACATTCTCTTGTAGAGAGCTTCAAAGGTAACGAGCCTTAATTGTTTAAATGCTAGTATTCAGAACTCCCTAAAAATGTAAAACTATTGCAGCTTGCCAGGACTGAAGCTTTCCAAAGAATACAAACTGCACCCGGAAGACGAAGAGGAAACGATGAGGTTATCTGTATTTGTGATTCTAGAATTTGTTCAGCACTTCAGTTCTAGAATAAATTCTAGAATTTATACTAAAATTAGTGTGGAAATAATTAAAGGTCAGTCAAGGGCTTAATGTAAATGTACTGACTCTGTTTTGAGCTTAGTTTATTGCACAGATAAAGGAGAATTATTTTTCATGGCATGTTTTATAGACCTTAAACTAAGAAAAAGAAAAGAAAGAAAACAACAGTGAATGTCCCCCAATTAAACAAGAAAGGAAAGTAAGACAACCCGTCCTTCTGAAAGACACGTATTCTTCATTTAAGAAAACAATGATAAGAAATAAAATAAGTTCAGTAATAAATGCATTCATAATAAGATTTTGCGAAATTAGCCTCGCAATTTGCGGACAGTATCCATCGGGCCGGGTCAAGGCTTTTTTTTTTTTCAGTGATGACTTCAAGCCGCGCTGTACTTGCACTAACATGAATTTTAACAGACTTTACGGGTTGAGTCGAATGTAAATCTTTATATTTCTTAGTTGTTGAGTAAATCATTTAAGACATAATGTTGCACTGTTGTTTATCGAAATGCACCATGTCCTTTTCGCGCCAAATGTTGAAGCTTATCGCCTGAGATTTGGCCTTAACGTGACATAGCCAACCGCAAATGTCAAGCGATAAGTTTGACAACACGCGGTATGATAATAATAATATTGTTATGTTTCATTTCCAGCATAGATTTTCATAAAACCCTGTGTTGTCATTGGTTAAAACGAAACAACATGAAATTTGAGAATTAATTAGTTGAATAAAACCATTTACAGTTGTTTTATAAGCAACCAAGTACCATGGCAACGTGCTGCGACAGCGGCGAATATTCAAAGTTAGCGAATTGCAATCTAGCCATGAGAAAAAAAAATGCTGACAGTTCGACCTTTTTCACCTTTCTTATTTCAAGCAGAAATGAGTTAACAACTGAAATAGGGCGTGAAGGATTAATGTCTGTCGAAGTAAACATCGCATTACGTTACCATAATCCAGCACTGAAAATTTGCATACCAAACAGATAGCTACAGCTTATCCGCAGGTGGGGCAAACAGCAGCAGCACGGTCACCGCTGAACTGTCACATGCAAACATGGCGAGTGTGTTAGAAACCTTACAGGACGTTAGCTTCACGACCTGGCTGGCAGTGATCCTTGGATTATTAGTATTTTTCTATTGGCGAGGGATCCAAAAATACAACTCTCTTCTCGGAAGCTCTCCTCTCCCAGGACCCAAACCATTGCCTTGGATAGGTAACCTCCTCGATGTCTTCAGATATGGCGGAATGCACAAAATGTTTCTGAGTTTCTTCTACAAGTACGGCCGAGCTCACAAGTTATGTTTGGGTAGGTCACCCGCGATCGTGGTCTCCGATCCTGAAATGATCAGGGAAATCTTGGTGAAGGAGTTTTCGAGTTTTCCAAATCGGCTTGGCTTCACACCTAGGCCGCCCCTCGACTCTGGCTTGTTCGTCTCGCGCGGAGAATCGTGGAAACGAGTGAGGACCACGCTTACCCCAACTTTTACCGCGTCCAAGTTAAAGCAGATCGTGCCCATAATCGAGGAAAAGTCCGATTTACTNGGACCCAAACCATTGCCTTGGATAGGTAACCTCCTCGATGTCTTCAGATATGGCGGAATGCACAAAATGTTTCTGAGTTTCTTCTACAAGTACGGCCGAGCTCACAAGTTATGTTTGGGTAGGTCACCCGCGATCGTGGTCTCCGATCCTGAAATGATCAGGGAAATCTTGGTGAAGGAGTTTTCGAGTTTTCCAAATCGGCTTGGCTTCACACCTAGGCCGCCCCTCGACTCTGGCTTGTTCGTCTCGCGCGGAGAATCGTGGAAACGAGTGAGGACCACGCTTACCCCAACTTTTACCGCGTCCAAGTTAAAGCAGATCGTGCCCATAATCGAGGAAAAGTCCGATTTACTGTTGAATAAGATGCAAAGATTTTCAGAGACAGGTAGGTCTTTCGCTTGACATAGAACCTCAGTACAGTCGACTGGTCAACTGTCGTGTTGATTTTTGCTAATATAATTTTTTGAAATTAATATAGGCAAACAATATTATCAACATAATTTTACATTATTTTTATTTTAGAAAAAGTGAGTTTAGATTGTTGAACGTAGCTCGTCAAACTTTAAGTAAAGGTGGAGGTTACGTAATGCCTAAATGTTATGGGTTGCGTGACACGTATCTTTTTTAAAGTGAAATTGCATGAAACGGTTTCGCGTGACTCGATTCAACCTGACAGTTGTCGTCTACCATCGACTTTCTCGCTGATTTCCAAGAGCCTGCGAGCAAGCTCTCCTATTTGGGCGAATGAAGCGAGTCTCGGGAAAAGGCGCGAGCGAGCGACGAAGCTGCGAGGGGCAGGGGCGTTCTCGCGAGGCTCACTTCGCTTGCCCTAATAGGAGAGCTTGCTCGCAGGCTAATTTCCAAAAATACGATACGTTACAAAAAATACGCTTTATGGTAAATTCAAGGCAAAGAAAAATGATTCAAATCATGATCTGATCTTTGCTTCGCCAATCTACTTACTCAGAGGTTACGTAATAGCCACTGGGCTACGTGTAGCCTGTTCACAGACCCTCTATTTTCTCTTCAAAGTCCGTCGAGCGCGGGTGATATAAACCGCAGGGAATTTATTGACTGTCAGCACAAGGGGGGTAGTGGTGGTGGAATTTACGCGCCCTGCGCTCGTTCTCGCGCACGCATCGCGCGCGAGCTCGCCAATGTTTTCGAAACCGAACGAAAAGAAAAATAAAACAACGTCTGTGTACACAGGCTAGGTTGCGTGATGATTCAAGTCAAATTAACGGACTGTTTGAAATGTCAGCAATGAATAGGTGGTTTTCATGCAATCTCGGGAGACACAAATAACAATGGTGAAATGAACAAATGCTGGTGGACGAACAAAGCGAGCTAATGAGCGATCTTTTGTTTACCGTCCACCAGCATGGCGGCGATGACGTAACGTGAAAACCACCCATAAACATTTAAATATATTTAAGTAAACTTTTAAATTTCATGTTCAAGCAAAAATACCGTTTATTTTAATCCCTTTTATGTACCGTTACGTAAAAAGCTGGTAACGTTCGGGGACTTAATTTTAAGCTTCATCAACTTGCCCCGGGGCGTCAAAAGCCAGTAACTTCAGACAGCAATTTTAAATTAATAACCCCAATTACTTAAATAAAATTGATCAATTAGCTACGCAGAAGAGAGTTTTTCTGTTGTTAGTTTTTTTTTTACTTGCGCGCTCCGTGCTATTGCCTCGAGCGCTTTGCCGTTGATTTCTCAACATAGAATCTGAAACTATTTACCAGTAATATTTGCTTAATTTAGGTGAAAGCGTGGATGTTGTCCAGATCTTCAGCTTGTTTGCGTTGGACGTCATCATGAAAGCCGCCTTCGGAATTGAGAGCAACGTCCAGGTGAAACCAGATCCAGTTTTTGTCGAGAAAGCTAGACGTGTCTTTCAGTCACCGCTCTGGACTCGATTTTTTTCCGTCCTTCCCTTCTGGGAATACTTCAGCAAGTACTACAGCCCCCTACAGAACGTTGACTACTTCATAGGCATTCAAAAACAAGTCCTCGAACAAAGACAGAAGCAGGGATTTACCGGCACTAGAGACCTAGTCCAGTTAATGTTGGAGGCGCATGAAGAGACTGATGTCGATGGAGTTAGCAAACTTAGTGATGATGAGGTCACCGCCCAGTCTGTGACTTTCCTTTTTGCTGGCTTCGAAACCACCGGTAATAAACACAATTTTGCTACTGTGAGGGACAAAAGTGTTGAGACAATTCAAAGTGGACATGCCTATCCCCTCCCCCTGTCTACCCCCACCCCTCCCCCAAAAATCAATGTTGTATTTTAGACCCTCAGGTCTTTCTTTTTCGACTTCAAACAACATTGATTCGGGGGTGCGGGGATTTACGGCGTTTAAATAGAATGAAATAATAAATCAATGAAATTGTTGATAAAAAAGCACCCGGTTTAGACAGGTGGGTCAATGACTTTTGTGCCTGATTGTAGCAACGAATTTAGAGGGAGTGCACTCTTCAAAATGAAACAGGGCCAGAATTTTCGACATTTGAGGAGCCTGTGATTAAAGATGACCAAAAGAGAATAATCTCATGTGCATAAGTGGTCCAAGGGAGGCCTTAGATCCCGGAGGGAGTACTCCCTTACAAGAGGCTTATAGGGTTGTGCCGCTGGATGGGGTCGCATTTTCACGACTGGAGTGACTATAATGGGGTCGCATTTTCAATAGATTTACTTGAATGGGGTCGCAAATTTTTGGATTTTTGGAGTAAGTAGGGATTCAAAATGGGAAGATTCTCGGTTAAAAAATCAGAAACTTGTTGTTTATTAAATTTAACAATAAGCTCGCATTGACCGAATTACATTCCGCCGCTTGAAACTGCATTGATAAGGTAGATGCATAAATAGAAAGTTGGGATCGCGACTAAGATAGGGTCTAAAATTGGCCAAAAAATAGACTATAATAGGGTAGGGGCTCTAAGAGGCCAGCTGCACATACCCACCAAAGACAAACCCAAGTACCCCCCCCCCCCGGGTTCACAGGCTACTCTACATCGATGTGATAGGTGATGCTCTTGACTATGCTTTTAGGTACCACCCTAACTATGACCGCCTATCACTTGGCCACTCACCCAGACATTCAAGATCGACTTATCAAAGAGATTGACGAAATAATGGATTCACGTGGGGACAGGTCCCTTTATGACGTGGTGCAGCACGCCACGTACTTAGATCAAGTCATCTCAGAGGTCCTTCGCATCAGTGGCCCTGCGTTCTTCCTTAATCGACAATGTACCGAAGACACAACCATAAAAGGAGTGAAGTTTCCTAAGGGTGTTGACGTTGCTATACCCACGTACGTTTTGCATCGAGACCCGGAAGTCTGGGAAAACCCCGAGGAGTTCAACCCCGACAATTTTTCGCCAGAGGCAAAGCAAAACCGAAGCCCGTACTCTTACCTCCCGTTTGGAGCTGGCCCCCGTCAATGCATGGGAATGCGCCTTGCCTTGTTGGAAATAAAGCAAGGGTTATTCAAGATCTTGCAGCGATTCAAGTTTGAACGGGCTCCCGAAACCGTCACCGCACTGGAGCATAACGCTGTGTTAATTTTGTCTCCCAAGAAGACTATCTACGTCAAGATAAAAGCACGCTAAGAACGATGCAGCCATTTGCCACATGGCCACATGAAGCATATGCTAGTGGTGGCTTTTAAGGGTTTCAGTTTCATTTTCTTTCTATCCGATATGCTCAACATATATTATTTCTATACTCACATAACTTTGGTCTTGTAGCTAACGTTGATAGAAATAAAATTCGTTTGATCATGAAATTCCCTTCTTCTGTTTGTTTGTTTGTTTGCTTGGTTTTGTTGTTGTTGTTGCTGTTGGTTTAATTTAATTTGTTATTTTTTTTGTGACCCGCGTTTCGACTCATGTGAGACTCTCATGTGACACACCCTTTCCGGAGCCTGTAGTTACGGCCTGTTTATTGCGGAATAGGATTGTCTGAAATAACCCTGGGTGACTGGCGGTTTTATTGGGTAGAGGATCACAAACAAGCAGCAAAGCTACAAAAATGAGCGACGAATCCACGCATGTCTCGTTATTTCCAGCCCATTCTCCTTGCCGCTTCGTCGCTCTCGCTCCCCTCCGTTTCCCCTCCCCAACAAAGAAAGAATTGACCTTCCACTTTCGTACAAATTAAACAACAATACCGAACCCCCTCCCCCGCATTTCTAATACAGCAATAAAAAGGAGTGACAAAAAGTATCGGAGAGCTTACCTTCCATTACCAACTTTCATTTGTTTGTAAATGCAAAAACATTAACCTACTACAGTCCGTATTTCATACCCTGCGAGCAGAGTCTCCTATTTTCTAGGAAGATCGAAGGAGACTCTGCTTGCAGGGGTAGTATTTCAAGGACGTAATCCAATACTGCTATTTTTAATTCAGTCCGGTGTCCGTTTAATAGAGGTGTTTATCCTGGTATAACTTTTTTCTCTTCGCTTCTTTTCTTTTCTTCTTCTTCTTCTTTTCGTTTAGTTTTCATTTTAGGTTTAAAAGTTTTGTTATGTTTCTATATATAGCTTACAATTCTTAGATTTACGAATTTTCTTCTGGGCTTTACTTGCCGTTCCCCCTAAGTCCTGCGATTTACGTATTTCTAGTAAAGGGAAATATCAGACGTTCGTTTCGGGACCCAGCTTACTGTCCGCTTAATCAGGGGTCCGCTTAATAGAGGTTTCACTGTACTGGGTTCATATTTGTCACGCGTCCTGCATACCGCAAGGATCAGCAATGTCTATGTCGCACAAAGGGGGGAATTTCATACATCCCATGATGCATCGCTTCGTACTATATTATCAAGCTTCGGAATGCACGTGATCCTATCAGTTTAAAGTGACGTGTTTAGCCCGCGTGTTAGGCGTTCGAAAGGGAAGGGGAAGGGAAATGGCGCGCGAGACCCCGTGCGAGGGAGGAAAATGAAAATGATCAGCATGTCACGAACGTGGGACAAAGAAAAAATGTGAGTCCCCGACAGGATTCGAACTTACAACCTCCCAAACACCGGGCTGTTTGATTTTTATCCTGTCGATCGCGGCCTCCCTCTTGCTTCGCTATCGCTGTTACCAGAGGCGCTATTTAGAAGTACCCCTAATAAAAGTGATTATGAGGTCAATAGAATACAGTCAGCAAACCTTCAAACAAGGACATCTTGAACTACCAGCCAGCAGATCGGGATCAGAAAGCATTGAAAGAAAAAATAAACTTAACAAAAAAACTTCGGAAATTAGACTGACAATTTCATTTATTTATTTTTTGCAGGATATCTTTACTACAGACATGTCATGTCTAGAGTTTTATTTAACTGGGTAATTATGTCACTCTAGCTATTTATAATCCCCCCAAAGCGACTTAAGTCCATTATCTGAGGAATGCTGATAAGCCATGAAAATACGTACGGCTGATGCATTTCGCGCAGCTTGACCAAATGGAGATAATTTGCTTGGAGTTGTTATACATTTATTCTTTTTTTTTTGGTTCTATGATTTGTTTGTTTTTTTTTTTGTTGTTGTCCGTAATGTTTACTAAGATTTAAAAACACACTATTTTATAATTAAAATTACATGATAATAATGATGATGACCAAATCATCAGATTAAGGTCAGTGATGTATACAGTAGCGTATAAAGAAAGGCATTTAGATTGGTTGGCAAAGCAGAATCCTCGTTTCTTCTTAGACTGCGTTTATTAATTTCTGCTATAAAATTACAGGGTTTCTACAACCAATAGTCATCATTATCAAGTGTGAATTTTAAGAAAGCACATTTGTGTTTATACAGAAGATCGAAAGGACTAAAGAATGTGAAAAAAATGGTTTTTTTTTTTATTTTTTTGTTCAACTATCGTATTCTTAATTTATTTTCAACTTGATAATCATAACTTCGACTTTTTAAAAATTACACTTGCTGATGACGACTATTATGGATAAATCTTTCTTATTTGCTGAACTTGTTGACCAAGATTTCCACAAAGCAGCTGCAACCAAACCAGGCATTTATGATTCAGCTGGATATTAACCATATCACATCCCGGGGCGGGGACTCCGCATATGAAAGGGGTGGGGATGCTCGTCGGAAATTTTGAATTAAACCCCTAAAGGAGACCGATCTGGGCGTGGCCCAAGCTTTTTTTGACCCCTAAAAGAGACCATGTTAAAACACAGGCAATATAGTATTTTTATATTTTTTCACGTGCAACCCTAAACAAGACCTTCACGGCTAAATATGATGGCGTTTTGCCCAGAACACCCTAAGTGAGACCAAAATACGAAATTTACACCCCTAAGCGAGACGACGAGCATCCCCACCCCTTTCATATGCGGAGTCCACCCTCCGGGGTCACATTTCACTTTTCAGTTAGCAATTCTAAATTGCAGTTATATTGCTCGATACTGAGACAATGAAAAGGAATTAAAATAATACATGTTTCAGTGCAAACCGAGCAAGTTTTAGTGATTTTGATAGAAATAAAACGCATGGCTTTTTATGTTCAGGAGATGCGTGTTGCAATCATCGGGTAGCCAGGGACTTTAAATCCTGTCGAATAACCTTCATTATTGAATGGGGAAAAGTAAAAATCCTCATACGTCCCTAATCGTTCTCCAGCGCAGTTAGCATTTGATTTTGCAAACTGTGCTTGAAACAGAAACTCATGGCCAATATAACGGACCTCGAACTGTCTACCAGAGTAGAACACCACAAGTCCGTCCTCTTTGGCTACAACTTCAGCCAATGATGTAGTGACTTTTAACGTGATCGCATCGGTTTTATTCAAACTGTAGTTTCCAACGTAAGGCTTTGGGTCAACGGGAAATCTAGACGAACCTTGTAAGTCAAAAAGTGTCTGGTTTAACGCCGGGAGAAGTATCTTGTAAAAAACATTTAAGTTCTTTCTTGCTCCTCTTGGGATAAAGGAGGGAGAACTGACAAGAATATTTATGCCTAACTGTAATTCTGGAACCACTGAGGTTGTCACGGAGTACGAATCAATGGCGCCGCCTTTCTTCCGAACGAGATTTTGCTCGATGAAGGTCATTTCCCAGGGAGCTCCCCATAAGGTGACCCCGTCGGGGGCGATGTTCATGGGGTACATCATCTCTCGGAGACTCGACGGTCGGAAAAGGTTTTGCTTGTTTGGCTGGCTGAACATCATTCCAAGCTTTGTCAAGTCCTCGAGTGTGGAGTACATCTGCCCGGCAGGTGCGACCCAGTCAATTATCATAAAAGGCATCCTTTTCCCTTTATCGTCGTGCGGAAAGGCCATGTTTTGTTGCACTTGCTCTGTGACGTCGAAACCGGTATTGGTCATGTTAAGTGGCCTTAAGATACGTCCAATCACCCAGCTTTCGAAAGTTTGGTTTTTTAAGAGCTTCTCTGTCAGCAACCTTCCAAGCAAAGCGTATCCAAGGTTACTATAAGACGGCATGACTCCTGGAGTCATCACCAAGCTTCGATTAGCAAGCTCTTTTATCACCTGCTGGGAGGTGACATTAGCACAAACATAAAAGCATGGAGCCTCTCGAGGCAGCCCAGACATCTGGCTCGCGATCTGCCTAATTGTGATATTTTTCATGGTGTATGGATTTTGAATGGAAAATTCAGGTTGTATAAACCAGTCACCTAGCAGTTCGCTCAGCTAATTTGGAAGGAGCATCTTGAACATGTGGTAGTCCTGGTGCTTCTGGAACCATTGCGAAGGTTAAGCTATTTGCCAGGACAGCAGAGGTTTATTTTCCCTCCTGTATTCCTTGCTTCCATAATGTCCAGTCCAAAGAGTGCGGTTCTGATAAAAAACGCTGACTGATATCGCAGGGAGCTGTGCGGTTGAGTTGACAGTGTTGTTGACAAGTTCACCAATTCTTGAGAGCGCCTTGGATAACGGTTCAGGGATGGTTTCCGGCAAAGCAATAAGGCTCGGCAGACGAGGGCAAGGTCGCCAATAGGCCGGTTGCTCTTGTTTAGTCCCAGATTCTTTTCCACCGTTTTGGTTGACTGTATTGTGAGTCTTGACATTACATTGTCTGTCGTCCTTTGAGACCTGCCAAATGAGCAACGCTGTCACAACAATGGCTACTATGCATGCAATTGCCGTGACTATTTGCCATTTCCTTAGTGTTCTGTTATTTGTGAACTGGATCGACTCAATCACAAGATTTTCCACGCTCGCCATGGAGAAGATAAATCAGTTTCCAGACTGGAGCAGCGCGTATAAAGCTGGACTGAAGTGTAGCGTGACTATTTCCTATCGCTTGCACCAATAATGTTAACTGCTAAGACTTTTATGTTGTAGTTCGATACGGCTTGCGAAATCCGTATAATCGTGCGCACGTCATAAAGATATTAAACCCAAGCATAAGCTGCGAGTGTTTATAGGAGTGCGACAGGACTGAATCGATGTACACCTGTGTGTCACGTATAAATGCTAACGAGTTCGAGTGTAATCGGTATGACAATGCAAAGTCAACTGTATTCTAATAGCTTGGTGTCATTGTCGCTAATGACGCCATGCGCCAACGCCGTCCTTCCTGATTGAAGCGAACATGCGATCTACCACTTACAAATATTTAAAACCTATACAATAACTTCTCGTC